AGGGCCAAGAAAGAACTCCTACGGCAAGCGAGACACGATAATCAGCCAACATTGCACACAGAACAGGGGGCAGCAAACGGATAACCCACAGAAGGCGCCAAAGGCGGAGACTCGAGAGATGGAGCCGACAATCCAACCAAGGAAAGCGGACCCCCCTGAAGGCCGAGGCCGCCAGTGCGAAGAGGGACCTGCGGGGAGACGGGCCCGTCTATCGCAAGCGCAAAGGACAACACAATAGCTCGGCGACACCTCACCACGCCACGTAAGCCCCATCCAGGAACAAAGGAAGGCTGCGCGGAGCTAGTCGCGTCAGTGCCAAGAAAGGCAAAGCCATCGACCTGGGCACGACAGCGGTACGGAAACGCATCAGAATGATCGCACATTCAGGACAACCGGGAATCAGTGGTTTACATCTAATTAATCTAAACCTAAGGAGAAGGAGATCAGCCGCGATGCAAGTAGGCAGATGAACAGGGCGTAAATCGCCCACGCGCATTGGAGACCGCAGTAAGACGCAAGAGTAGCCAATAATTTTCCCTGTCATAAATGCAAGCATCTTACCGCCGCTCCGGACCCAAGGCTTAAAACTTGCGGACCAGCCGAAGACCCTCCCACCCACCCATTAAGCGCATTGGGATGTGGTGTGGCCTGATTAAACATTGGGATCGGGTGTAAGGCTGGACGCAAAGGCCCACTTCACGCTAGTCCGGTACGGAGCGACGAGCATTTACATTCAAGCACTGGACCGTAGATGCCCAGGTTAGCAAGCGTCATGAAAAATGCGTTTGGTGACATACAGCTTTATTAAAACATTAAGTTCATTCACTTAACCCAGGAAGTACCACAAGTTTAGTGCATCTGCTCTGCTCTTGGTTACCGGTCGCTGGCCTGTGTGGATGGCCCAGGTAGATATTTGATGCATGTAGCATTTTCAAACCCGCCAATAAAGACATGGGCATCCTTGGCGTTGCTGCGGCCATTTCAGTGACCCTTGCAAGCAGTAGCCTTTTGCACTTGCAGCATGTTTCCGCTGCTCGCGCGGACGCTTCTTCGCCATCTTCATTACCCTTTCCATCGTCGCAATCTCAACTTTCCAGTGCCCCCATTTCCGGAATCGCGACCAGAGAGGCATTGTACTGCAACCGCGCGCGCGCGGGGAGCACAGCAGCCGCCAATCCAACCAACGTGATGAGCGCCATCCGCAGTAGCCACTCCAGCACATCCCGCAGCAGCAGCAGCCGCCATGGAACAAGTGGCAGTAGCTTCTGCGACTTGCTCCTGCTGTCCATCATGCGGCTGTACTACGGCCTGACAGGCTTTCTTACCTCCCAGCCCGCCGCCAACACCCAAGCCGTCGCCAACTTCCATCGCTCCGCCGCCGTCACCGCCGGTGATGATGGCGGTAAAAGCGACGACAAGGGTCAACGGAGTGACAGCTCTACGGCCTTCACGGGAGCCGAGCCGAGCTGGCTCCCGGATTGTACGACAACGGCGGCCGACGTCGGGAGCGACACTCCGCGTCCGCATGCAGTCTCCTCGCAATCGAGGCAAGAAGGCACTCACGACGACGACAGCTACCTGCCATCGCTCGCAGACACCGTAGGCGCCAGGAATGCATTACAGCCGCGGGTGGGTGTAGAACCCGTAGGAAAAATGGGCGCGGGGAATACGGAGACAGGAAGCGGCAGAGGCAGGGCTGGCAACGGCGGCCTCCGCCAACAGCAGCGGTGGCGGCACAGCCGCCGTACACTTGCTGCGGCAGCAGCAAATGTTAGCGACGGCGCTCGTGGGACCTCCATTTTGGTGGCAGGCAACGGTACGGCTGAGGTATACCTGGTGCTTGCCGGCACCGCAGCCGACCCCGCCGACAGGTACGGCATCAACCTGTCATACGAGTCACTTGCCGCGGCAGGGCTGCAAGCGGCGTTGCTATCCGTGCTGCCGAGGACGCTGACGCTGCTCGACAGCAGCGGCGTCGTGACAGTTACCTGGAATAATGAGTCGGCGCAGCCCGTTTTGGACGGCGTCAACAGCTACTTTGAGCTTCACATCCCGGCAACGAACCTGGACACCGAAGAGGGCTTTGGTTGCCTGGTGTATAATACGACGAGCAACTTGCTGCACACCGCAGCGGGCAACATTACGAGCCTGCCAACGGCGGCAGGGGCAGTAGTGCCACCGCCGGCGTCGTACAACGCCACGACGCAGATGCTGGTATGCCGTCTAGTCAGCGCGGGGGGGAGTTACGTGGTCGCCCAGGAGCAGCAGCAGCAGCAGCAGCAGGCAGCACTGTCAAGCGGCGGAAATGGCAACACGAGCAACAGCAACACCATTAACACTGGCGGTGAGGGGGTCGGAAGTGGCGGAGGAGGAAGCAAAAGGCGAGATGCGAGTCTGGCGGAACTGGTCACAGCGAGCGTGGTCGGGGCCGTCATGGCAATTCCAATTTCTGCTTTGGTAGTAACGTTGTGGGTTTTGCGATCAAGGAGGCGGCGGAAAGAGGCGGCTGAGGCTGAAGCTCTGGCTCTGGCTCGGGCAGCCGAGCGGCAACAGCACCACCAACACCACTATAAGCAACAACAGCAGCAACTCCAGCAGCCGTCAACGCGCCATATGGCTTCGGTGCCGTACATTGCCGTACATCCTGTAAACTAGGTTTAAAAATGTAGCAAAGGGTTGACGTATGGGACGAGCCGCCCGGTCGCCCGGCGGCGGCGGTGGCGGCGGCGGCGGCCGGCTGAGTGTGAGTGTCTGTATCCCCTACATGTGCGCGCAAGCATGTGTATGGAGCCGTATGTTGTGTGGTGATCATTTAACTATAGAAGCGGAGGTAGTGCACAGGTCCATGCTCATGTGTCTATGGAATGTGAGTGGGAGGGCGCAATGATACGGTCCACGACTGCTAGCCGGCTGGGCGCTTTTCCTCGCTGTAACCGCGCTGTATGCTATGTATGTATGTATGTATGTTGTTACAGGGGGGTATAGCTTCACCAGCGGCCCCCTTTCCCTTGGAGGCAGTTCCCTGCTCTTCCCTGCTAGAGGGGCACCCTAATCCGTTCACGTATGTATGTATGTGTGAGTGCCGTACCTAGGGGTAAGTAAGGTGCGGTCTGACACGGCGGTCAGCATCAGGTCATCGGGACCTTCCTTACTACGCCAAATCAGATGAGGTGATGACGGATGAGATAACTCAAGTACAGGTACAAACGTATGTTAGGTGAGACTTGTGAAACGCAGAAGTTGCGCGATCAAACGTCGTGCCTAGACACAGCGCCCGCGTTCCTAACGTCCATCGTCGGCACTGACCGGCCGCTATTTCCGTAAGGAAGAACGATCAAGTTAACTTGCATGCTAAAGGGTGAGCCGTGACTAGCAAGCGTACAGTGTTCCATTCTTTATAAATATGTATATGGATGTCTGTTAATTATATATTCATTTTTGAGATATGTTTGGATGCGCATAATGGTTTCAAGCCGCACTCAACTTCCTATTCTTGCGTACAAGTACGAGTTATACGACCCCTCTAAAGCTAACCGTAATGCACTGCAGACGAGCGACTGACGCGCGCCAGGACCCCCCAGCCGCCAAGCCCTGCAGCTGCTGCAGCGCGCCTTGACCTTGCCTGGTTCCGAAGAGTGAAGCAGTATGATCACGGAAACCGTATTCGTTGTCGCTGTTTAGACATGCACGCTACCGCCATACTTACTGTGGGTGGCCAAGTACACCCCAGGCGCCAGTACACCCACACCGCCTACGCGCTCACCATCTTTTTGTCGTTGTATTTGTTTGGGAGCTATTAAAAATGTTTGACTGGGTGATGGATGCATCCGAAGATTTTTCCTTTTAAGAATGCGTAATTTATTGCGTGCTGATTTAAAGGCGTCGTCATTTAACAGCGGCGCTGAAGTACAATCGGCATGCGACGAATCAGTACGAATCAGTACGACATTTTGGTGTCATGGAACGTGTGAATTGCCTATCCTGTATGCGTACCTGTATGCGCGCATTTAAGACGTGGATGATATTGTGCATGGAAAGCTGTATGATTTAAGCGTAAGCGAAGCTGTCTGTAAATGCAGCGTGTGCGCATACTGTGCTCTGGGGAGGTGGATGTATTCCTTAGTAGGCGCTGTAAGCTGTTGCGCCTTTTGTGTGTTGGCCTTTGGTTGGCACTGGTAGTAGTGCTACTGCTGTTGGTGGTGATGGTGGCGGTGGTGCATATGCTTCTACGTGCTGCTGGGGGGTGGTTGCAATGATGGTAGCAGTATGTAACTTGTTTTTTGGCTTGCGGGAATGGTGCTGGCGCTTTTTTTTACAGGTGCGAGGACTCGCAGTGTCATAAGAATGCTGTGGCCTCCTTTTTATTGTGCGTGCAGGGGCCGGGTGTGAGTGCGTGAAGTCAGTCCGGCTGCTGCTGCTGCTGCGTGGCGTAGCGGTGTTTTCTCGGAGTTCAGCAACACACACCAACACACAACAGCATCTGCAGAACCTGCCGAATCAATGGCGGTGGTGTCAAGTGTTGCCGTACTCCTGGTTGCCCGACAAGCCATGCTAAGCCCGATGTAACCGTCAACTGGCCTTGGGCAAGGAGGTGTACCACCTTAAGCACCCAACCGTGCATCGGTTTCGTGGGGGTGATGCCACAAAAGTAATCCCGCCATATCAATCGATCATGGAAAATTCCTTGCATGTTTGACACAATAAAATATTTGTTTGTCACGCATGTGTACATGTACCGCAGTACGGTCTGGATGTGCGTGTATGTTATGTGTGTATGTGTGTGTGCTGTAATCCGAAGGGAAGAGCAAGAGCTGAATACATATGGCGCTGCAGCCGCAGCCATTGTTACGGATAACAGACCCTAGCTTGCGTTCCCTTCCGTACCGGGGATGTTCAGGTTGCTTGGTGTAGTAGTAGCTGTTGTACACAGTACAGCACACATATCATCGACAAAACACGCGCTAAGCGCTTCAGCACTGGCAGCATCTCGAGAGGCCTTTCCAGCGGCAGCCAGCCACTGCAAATGGTGGCTGCTGGTGGCTGGTGCTGTAACATATGTGCTACATTACTACTACTAATCTAATCACCAACACTGTTGTGTTTATCTATACATATGTACACACAAAATAGTATAAATACAACAGTATTGATGGTATATACACATACATGGCAAAACAGTCCACTGGCACCCCTCACTTACCCCGCCCCACCCCTCCCAATAAGCAGCACTATCTCGACAAAGCCTCCTCAGACCTCCTCCCGCAGTACCTTACCCCCCATGACGACGTTCGTTGACCCCACACCTCCCAGCACACACTCCTGCACGCACCTCCTCCTGCCCCTAGCCTAGTACTGCTCAAGCATCCTCAGCCATGCATCATCCCCCCAGCTCGCCCACACCCCCTCCCCCAAATGCAGCTCCTCCGGTACCAGTTGAGCCCACTGCAGCAATGCCCTCAATCGGGCTGTGGGATCCAATTCCTCCGCCGTCTCCTCCGTAACCTCCGTCGCCGTCTTCTCCGCCAGGCGGGCTGCTGCCGCCTCCACCAGCGGTGGCTGCCCACCTTGCAACAACTCCCCGAGCCCCACGCCGATGAAGACGAGCTCGTTACACCGGTCACCCCACCGCCGGTGCCAGTGCCCGCCAGCTCGCGCCCCATCTCCATCTCCACCAGCACCGTCGCTGACACCAATATGACCACTGCCACCGCTGCCTTCAGTCGCGACATCAATGTCTTCTTGGTCATCAGCTGCAGTAGCTGCTCCACCACCACAAGCACTGGGAGGTGCTGCCGAGTGGATGTCGCAAATGTCCGCAGCAGCAGCAGCAGCAGCAGCAGTAGCAGCAGTAGCAGCAGTAGCAGCAGTAGCAGCAGCAGCAGCCTCAGGGTCGTGAATACCCTCCGGGATTTCACCGCTGCCGCAGTCGGCAACGCCATGAACGCCGCCGCCGCTGCCGCCGCTGTGGCTGCTGGTGATGTCGTTGTTATCAGTGGAGGGCAGTGGTCGCCACCGACCCACGGGCCAGTTTTCTGGGTCCACCATAGTGCACAGCCACCTGCCCACTGCCTCCAGCTCCACCTCACCTCCCGCCAGGGACAGCTCCCAGGTGGCCTGATGGCGCCGGCGGGGAGGACCAGTGAGTGGCGTAATGTGCGGGTAGGGGAGGACCAGTGAGTGGCGTGATGAGGCCGGAACATCAACTCATCCACATACACAAGCACATATACACGCACAGCTAGCTAAGGGTGCATGCTGCTAACCCCGCATACGCCACTGAGTAGGCTTGCGCATACATGCATACATACATGCACACATACATACATACATACGTAGCACCAACTGAACAACCGCTTAATGGCGGAAGGAATGGTAATCGAGCCGGAGGAATATGTAACTAACTTTGCCATGCAATCACAACAAGACATTTAAGCTTGAGCTGCTGTTTGCACCCACCCCACCCACCCCACCCCACCCACCCCCGGCCTACCTGCGATAGGCTGGCAATCCAGAAGAAGCCCTTCGCTCGAAGCAACGGTGGTGGCTGGTAAGGCAGTGTCACTGGCTGGTCTGTAAGTGGCTGGGAGGGTGGGACTTGTTGTGCCACAACCCCCTGGACAACCCCGGCCCCACCGCCGGGCCCGGGCCCTGAATCCAACTCTTTTCGCTGATCCTTCTCCTCCGACGCACCTCCCTCCATCGCCTCCGCCGCGGCCCCTCCAGCATCACCATCCTGCTCATCACTCGGCTCAGCAGCCTGCAGCGCCTGCAGCAGCGCCCACAGCCGCGCAGGATGGAACGGCACCCGACTGCGAAAAACATACGACCCGATGCCGTATTCATCCTCTTCATGGGCCCTGTCCTCGTTCTTGTCCCCCTCCTTAATACCCAGCGATGGTCTGACAGCAGTTGCAGTTGCACCAGCACCAGCAGCTGTCGAGCCTGCTGCCTGCAGCTGGCTAAGCACTTCCGAGTCATGCCGGCTGTCCACTCCTCCTCGCGCCACGCCGACGACGATCTCCCCGTCAGCCTTCTCCCCATCAGGAGGCAACATCATCACTGCTGGCAGCCTGTCAACAGGTAGCTGCTCCGGCTGCAGCAGCTGCGGTGACGACTGCTGCTGTTGTTGTTGTTGTTGTTGTTGTTCGCCCTTTTGCTGTTGCCGCTGTTGCGGCTGTTGGTGTTGCCCTTGCGTCCCACCACCCTGGGTGGCCGTGGTCGGCGGTAGAGGCCCGTGTTGTTGTTGTTGTTGTTGTTGTTGGTGGTGGTGGTGGTGGTGGTACAGCGGTAGGTCCTGGTCCTGAGGGCGAAGTATCACCTCCAGCGGCACCTCACACCGAACACACTGCAGTATGCGGGCAGAGGGGTTGAGCGCACGAACAACTGCCCGCACCCGTCGCAACTCCAAGAGCGCCTCGGCCGCCACATCCTCATCCCCATCCTCATCCACTCCCGCTTCCGTCGCCCCGTGCTCGTCATCACCTGGCTGCGGCTGCTGCCGCTGCCGCCATCGTTGCCGCACTCGCTCTCCCAGCCTGTCACACTTGTTCAGCAATACCACATCAGCTGACTCCACCTGTTGTACCAGCAGCTTCGCCAGCGGCTGCCGCGGATGAGTTGTGTTACCACCAGCCCTCACCGCCGCCGCTCCTCCACCAGCTGGTGTAGTCCCTGCGGCGCCACACAGCGCCAGCACCTCTGCGCTCCTGGCGCCACCTCTACCTCCACCACCTCCCCCCCCCCACACCCCACTATTGCCCTTGATGGTCTCGAGGAACGTGCTCGAGTCCACAACCGTCACAACGGTCAGAAGCTGCAGCCCCGCCGCCACCAGCGCCTGTACAGCGCCCGCCAGCGGCTCTGGCGCGCCCATGCCAGTGCACTCCACGACGAGGTACTCCAGGGGGGGATCTCGAGCCGCCAGCCGGAGCAGCTGCTCCTGCAGCGCCCCTCGCAGGTTGCAGCACACACAGCCGTTGGATAGCTCCAACAGCTCGCCCACAGCCACGTGGTGGTGGTTGTGGTGGGGGGTTGCCGCTGCCGCCGCATTAGCTGCAGCGGCACCCATGTTGTGAATAGCTGCCCCCGCTGCCGTGGCTGACTCTGATGGTGGCGGTGATGAACGCAGTGGCTGTCGGCGCACTGATGGATGAGGTGCCAGTAGCGGTGGTGGTGGTGGCAGCGGTCGTGTTAGCAGCTGTGCATCGATGTTTACAGGAGCCAAATCGTTGACCAGCAAGCCTACATGTGCTATGGCTTCGGAGGGCGAGGGAGAGCTCATGCAGCTTAACAGGTGCCGCACGAGGGTGGTCTTGCCAGCACCTAGGAAACCGCACAGGGCGATCACGGGGAGGACACGGTGCGGCTGCGGCTGCTGTGGCTGCTGCGGCTGCTGTGGCTGCGGCGGCTGCGGCTGCTCATTCTGATGGTGATGGTGTGTCGATGACACGTCAGGAGTTATCACATGGCTTTCTTCTGGCCGTTTCACTGGATGTGACGACTCAGCAGCACCAGCTTCGAGCCTACAAGAACCACCAGCAACATGTTCTCCACAGGCTTTATACCGCGTGTAGCCGGCAGTGGCGGGGGGATTTAATGCAACAGGCGGTAGAGACTCCAGCTGCAATCCACTGCCGCCCGAAGTGCGAAGCCGCTTGGGACAAGCTTGAGGTTTGGCACTTCCGGAACTATCCGGTGCCTGGTGATTGCAGCTGGTGTCCTGCTGTGCTTGCGGAGGTGGCTGCTGCGTGGGGAACGCTGCTGCTGTCGTCGCTGCCAGAGGGTCGCGTTGGCGCGCATCGCCGCAGCGACTAATGGCGGAATCCGTTGGGCGTTGGAGCACGACGCGAAGTGCATCCTTCAACTCCATAACCTGGGCCGGGTCCTTGCAAGATTCCAAGGCGTGACGCAAGACGGCAGCTGCTGGGTCCGGGGATCGATGCAAGGCCGTCAGAGCGGTGCACAGTCGGAGATATGGACGATGCCATGACGGATAAAGCTCAATTGCAATACGTGCTTCCTCTGCAGCTGGTTCATAGTTCCCGAGCTCCAGGAGTGCTGCGGCAAGGTTGCTGTGAAGGCATGACAATTCCCGCATAATCTCGCCACGCCGCGAGCCGTCCCCGCATTGCAGGACGCCATCCAGTATATCGATCGCCTGTCTGGTAGCTGCCACACAGATTTGTAGGTTTCCATCCTGAAAAGCACTTGCAGCGTTCGCTTTTAGTTTCGCTGTAACGTCAAGAAACATTGGGCTGTAAACTTGGCCGTTATCGAGAACTATTGAGAAGCTACGTGGGAGCTGTACAAGCAAGTTTTATTCCTTGTTAAGCAGCCTGTGCGCCCATGACAGGCAGCAAAGTAATTCACTGGGCGCACAGCTTTAAAAGCTGTCCCGTTAGTATGACCAATCAAGCTCATTTATGCTGTGATAAAGTCTCCCATAATGCGACGCGCCCATTATGCGTACCCCGTCTGCATCCGACTGTTCGGCAGTTGCTCGGCATTTCGACGGGATCCATGCACGTGCGTTTGTACGGCAATCGGTGTTCGCAGGCGGAACCTCTTATGTCTTCTCAAAGGTCCCACCCAGGTAGTTCCCCTTGCATAGGAATCCTCCGCCAGTCCTGTTGCTATGTAAGTTATGAGCGACAGACGGACGACATCGCATTATGTTGACCGAGCCGAAAACGACGCTCAAGGCCAACATCCTCCGCCAATCCTGCATCACCCCTGACGTCGTTTTTATTGCCCCTACCGCTGACCCTACTGCTGGCCCTGCTGCTGGCCCTGTTGCAGCGGCTGCTGCTGCTGATGCTGATGCTCCTGCGGATATTCTGGGCTTCTGGCTGCATTCGTCGCGCTTATTCGCCGACAGCTCGCTGCTGCTCCAGCTCAGTGCCGCTGCTGACCTCATGCGCATCACAACTGCGAACGGAGCTCTATGGATACAGAAGAGCGACCCTATGCTGGTCCGGGATGCACAGCGGCCGTATATGCGGAGCAATGAACCTGCACATTCGGAGATAAGGCCTATGCCATGACGGATTTACCTCACATGGCGATATGGGCTTCCTCCTCAGCAGGCCCAGAAATCTCCAATAATACGGCAAGGTTGCTGTAACGGCACGACAACTTCCGCACAACATCACGGCACCTTCAACAGCCTCAACTCTCGCGGCGTTGTCGAGAGTACCTATCGCAGGTCTAGTGTAACTGCGGCACATAGCTGTCAATCTCCTCCTTGCGGCCTTCCATTTCAGTTAGGCTGAAACCCTGGCAAAAATACAAAAAAACACCATCTAACTAATGCCATTCGCTTATGCCAAAAAAATGAATAAGCCGTAAGTGAGAGAAAGGACTGATGCCATGTAATAAGATCCAAGGGCTGTCAGCGGAAGAATGTGGCAGCTACGGCAGCCCACAAATCAGACCTTGCGTGGAAAATAACGTATACATAAGTTCAATTCATGAGGAGGAGTGTAATAAACAGGCATTGGCAAACGCTTCGGTTCTTTCCTGCCATACCGAAGTTTTGAAACGGAAATTCGGGTCCCCGAACCCAGTCGCTTCCAGAAATAGGACAATCCCCAGCTTAAATTTTTTTCCCGCACGATCCCGAAGGGCCATCTACAGAACTTGCAGCAAGGATCTTGACGATAACCCCCAGAAACGCGAATTTCCGCTGCTATAGGCAGATTTAGGAAGAAATTGGCCCTCATCCCGAAACCTTTACATACGCGTTTGCCGATATCTGTTAACATACTGCAAACACAGTTGTAACGCATTCTAACCACTCAGCCATTATCCGTAGGTTGGTACGGGTTGTCCTCATGCAAGGCCGCTTTAGATCTAGGCTAGTCAACCCTTCGCCTTTGTCTGTTTCATACTTGGTAAAGTGTGCGGTGTGAAGCATTGTGTACTGAATACGCTGTATGCATAGTTATACTTGCCGCGTTTGACTTGAATTGAACTCCAAGTCCCACGCTTGATCTATCGTCTACATTATCCTTGGAAGCTTATTGAGCTCGCGGCGAAAACAATTACTGATTGGGGTCAGAAAAAGATATATCCATGATACGGTCATCGGGAAATGTCCGCTGTGTACCTTCCCATCGGTCGTCACCTTCATTAACAGGAACCTATTCCCCTAAGATCGGCATTAGATTCCTTACGGCCTCATCACCTGGCTGCACACCGGCGTATCAAGCTCGTACTCAGCGGGCCCGGCCCTTCACCAATAGTCGCCCCGAAACGACATGTCATGGCCTGAAACGCGCAGCAGCGGACGCCGTTGCAGCTGCCGCAGTGCCGGCAGCTCCTCCACCTCATACGCAGGCAAGAATCCCCACCCATCTGTCTCTTGCGATGCACCACGCTTGCATAACGATTGATTTCCCCCACCCCGGCAGGTCCTCCGTTCCCTCCCCCTGCCTTAACCCCCGGGCCCGCACGGCCCATCTGAACCAATCCCTCCACCCTACGCCCGCCGTTTCTCCTGTATACCCCCAATTACCACAACTTCCCCCCACTTACCCCCTTTTACCCCCACTTACCACAACTTACCCCCACTTACCACAACCTCCCCCCACTTACCCCCTTCCCCTCCTGACCGCTGGCAGGACCCCCAGGTCATTTACCATGCGCTGCTGTCCCCCCTCACCTCGGCCCTGGGCGGTGAGTCCAGCTGGCAGTTCTACCTGGCTCGACGCTTCGCCAGTGAGGTGGTGGCGGTGGTGGCGGCAGCGCTGCTGGCGTACTGGCTGCTCACACTGCTGGCCAAGAGAAGTGCGGAGGTGGGAGTGCGTGTCTGGGTTGATGCGGGAGAGGGGTACGGAAGTGGGAGTGGAGGGGTTTATGCGGAGGTGACCAGGAGCTAGGGGGGAGAGAGGGAGGGAAGGGGAGAGGGAGGGGGGGGGACGGACAGCTGGGAAGGGCAGGAGGGTAGCTGGCTGGGGGTAGGAGGCGTTGTGGGGCAGCTAGGTGGGCGGGCGGAGGGGTGCGGGCAGGGAAGGGTAGTGAGATGAGATGAAGAGCACACACACAGATGTATGTGTGTATGTGTATGTGCGTGCACGCGCGGGCACGAACGTGTAAGTTTACGCCTACCATTGTACTTTTCTGTTTCCTCCCCCTCCCTCGCCATTTCCTCCGAGCGGATCAGGTTATAAAAACACACACGTCCCCTCGCTTTCCCCTCCCCTTTTACTCCCCTGTCCCCCTCCTCCGCTCTCCCCCATTCCTTCCCCCCTAACCCCTCTAACGGTACACTTCAGCACCCATACGCGCCAGCCAGTGCCGGCGGCGGTGGCAGCAAGCGCAGCGGCGGTGGTGGCGCAGGTGGCAGCGGCGGTGGTGGCAGCCTCGGCAGTGGCGAGGTGTTGTACCTGGCCGCGGATGCTCTGACCACCCCCCTGACCCGGGTCACTCTGGCGAGTGTGTTGGCCATCAACGTGGCCCGGAACACCACCGCCATATTTGACGGCTTCATCACGGCTTTCAACCCGCGACTGCCGAACGACTGGCTAGGTGGGTGGGTGGGTGAGTGGCTGAGTGGCTGGGTGTTTGCTGAGTGACTGGGTGGCTGAGTGGCTGGGTGAAGAAAGACGGGATGACGTCATGACGGCGGCGATAGGACCCTGGTTGACAGGGCGGGTGGATGGTTGACAGGGCGGGTGGGGGTAGCCTGGCGAAAGGTGGAGGGAGGGGCGGGAAGTGATAGGTGCAGAGGACGCACCGAACCAGCTGTGGTGGAAAAAAAAGGGGGGACGGAACTGACATGAGGTCGCAAAAGGTCGCACAAGTGGAGGGAACAACAACCGCCGTTCACCGACACGACGACGACAGGTGTCCGGAGCACCGAGAGCCCCCTCGGGGTTTCATTTCAAGCCAAATTATTTCAAGCCAAATGTGATGTGCCACTGCCCCTCTGTGCTGTGTGGGACTTCCCCTGCGCAGAGGGGCTCCTTCCCCTCGACGGGGGGTGTAGGTGGTGAATAATGTGTTGTGTTGTCTGTGTTGCACGTGTGGGGGTCCCGCTTCCTTGTTAGTGGCTTTAGGGATGAGAGGTCCGGGGAAGGAAGGCCGGAGCTAATCAGCGAACAAGCGGGTGGATGAGTGGATGGATTGGATGGATGTAGATGTGGAGGTGGAGGTGTGTGAGTGGCGCTTTCTGTGGGTTGTTCAACCCTAGAACAGAATTCAAACGTATGGCCATGGCCCCCAGAAGCCGTCAACTCCGGACGGCTCACACGCTCCCAGGAGGAGTGAGTGCAGGTTGGGTTTGGGTTCGGGTTTGGGTTCGGTCGTGATGAAGTGATGATGTGAGGTCGGTCCGGCGGTGGTGCGGCCCACCTAAGCTACCTACGCAATGCTGAACATAATGGATTGCAAGTCGGGACTGGGAAAATGGATGGGTGTGGCTGATTGGTGCTTTGGTTTTCTTCCTGACAGGATTCAATCCTGTTTTTTGAAGATTTGAAAATGAAGGGTTGAATGTTCCAGGTCCCGCATGCGTCCATCCCATCCCGTCCCGTCCCATCCCGCCGCAACACACCACAGGCTCTCCCACCACCCGCCCCTTTCTTTCCGAGTAGTACTTTACTCCCCAGACGGCCTTCCCCTCCGCCCCCCCCGGCGGCGCACAACCCGCGCCCCCCGCCCTCTCGACCTCACTTCACTTCACTTGACTTCCTTTCCCGTCCCTTCCCTTCCTGGCCGCCCTCCCCTTCCCCTCCCCCCTCCCCCCCCCTCCTCCTCCAGACGATCTGGTCCGGCTGATGGTTCAGAGCCTCACTCCCCTGGATGGTTTGCTGACCAAGATGAGCCTGGTGGGTGGGTGGGTGGGGGGGATTGCGGGGTGAGGGTAGGAAAGGTGTGTATGTGTGTGTGTGTTTTGGGGGGGAGAAAGAGCTAAATAGGTCGTGATTTAATTCATTGTCGTAAATTATGAGCACCCGTGCCTCCAGGCTTTTCCCTCGCACGATGGAATGACGTCGTCGAGTCCTTCCATAAATACATATATACATACATACATACATACATACATACATACATACATACATACATACATACATACATACATACATACATACATACATACATACACATATGTGATTTCGTGTTTGTGTGTGTTTGTGTTTTGTTTTCCAGGTTTGTTTGGTTCTTTGCAGCTGTGCAGTAGTTCTCCGTTGGAAGGACATCCTGTTCTCCCATTACCTGCTGCCCTCCATCGAGGCCATGGACAAGGGCCCCGAGCTGGTGGCCAGCTTCGTGAACCCCGTGTCCAAGTGAGGAGGGGAGAGGGAAAGCGGTATGTACGGCACAGGAGGAACGGGGAGAGGGTGTGTGTGAAAACATCGGAACGGAAACGTTTCATGGACCACCCCCGGGGGGGGGAAGGGGGGGGGCAGTAGCGAAACCAGGTCGCTGTGTGTGTGAAGGGGGAGAAGAGTACGACATGTTCTGGGTACGAACGGCGTGAAGACGGTGATTAGCTTTCGTTTATTCCTTGGATATTTGTTCCGCCTGGCCAGGGAGGGATTAATATGATTTTATGTGGGGATGAGAGCGGGGACGTGCGTGACCACCTCACGGAAATGGGACCGGCCTCCCGCTTTTCCCTGCTGGGAGGGGCTGGGATGGGCTGGGATGGGGGCTTCGTGTTCCGTTAGGACTTCCGACATGCTGAGCTGGCGGTAGGTGGTCTAGTTGTTGAAGCCGTTACGACATGTAGACATGCCGTACTCGTGTCGTACCCATGTCGTGACCCCCCTAGGTCAGTTCCAACCCGTGTGTCCCGTCCCCGTCCCCGTCCCCACTTTCCGTGGCGGCTCGCGGAGGTGACCGTTACAAGGGGGGGGGCCGCCGGGTGTAGTCCGCTGGAGCGCGCATCCACCGTTTACACACACCCTTCTCCACACACACACACACTCACACACACACGTCCGCACACACGTCCGCACACACACGTGCACCCCCAAACACACGTCCGAACACATCCCATAGCTGTATCTCACACCTCCCGTCTGCGGCCTCCGCCATCCCCCCTCTCACTTTTTGTTACCAGTCTATTGAACTGGATCGTGATTGTGGCTTCTGCCGCCTGGTTGGCCATGGCTCTGGGGATCAACTTGAAGGTGTGTGTGTGTGTGTGTGTGTGTGTGTGCGTGTGTGCGTGTGTGCGTGTGTGTGTGTATCGCCGAAAGAGGGAGGAGGAAACGAGGGAGGTGGGGGCGGTTGAGACGGACCAGTGGTGAATCAACAGAGATAGATACGGCGAGGGGGGAAAGGAATGGGGGTAAGGTAAGGTAAGGTACGAACATCCAAAACCGCTTGAAGAACGGCGGCTGTGGGTGGGTTATATGCGCTCCCTCGTCATCGAGCATCTTGAGTACTGATGTTCTCCTTTCCTCCCGCCCCCCCACCGTTGCCCGCCCGCCACCACCCGCCACCGCCTATGGCTCCCTGTTCCCGCATTGAACACACCGGCACGCCTGGATGGCTCTTCACATACATACATACATACATACATACATACATACGTACGTACTCTTGCCTCTTGTACAATACGTGTTGCGTTCTGAACGCTGAACTTGCCTTTAAACTCCCCTTTCCCATTCCCTGACCGTCGTATATTCTTTGCTCATGTTTCTCCCATTTTCCCCTTTCATCCCATTTCCTTCCCCTCTTCCCCTCCCTCCCCCCTCCCCCCCCCCTCCCCCCTCCCCACCTCCCCCCCACAGCCCATGTTGGCGGTGGGAGGGGCCAGCGGTATTATCATAGGTCTGGCCACGCAGCAGGTCCTGAGCAACTTCGTGAGCGGACTTAACATATTCCTGGCGAGGTGGGTTGGGTGGGGGGGAAGAGGGAGGGGGAGAGGGATTGGGAGAGGGAGGGAGAGGAACGTGTGCAAGGTTTGGATTGTGGAATCGCGGCTTGCCGCTCCGGGTGCGTACGGCAGGTAGGTACGGCTTGGGTTTGCGTTTGCAGGCGCGATGCTGAACTCCCGGGGATTTTGGGGATTCGCTCCTACAGCACTCCCGCCTCTCCGCCGCCTCTGCTGCATCAACCCCCCTTTCCCTCCTCCCCAACCCCACAGTCCCCCACAGCCCCCCGGTGTCAACGTGTTTTGCCCATGTACGACTACGTTTTTCTCCATCCTGTAATCCACACTGACTTTCCTTGTACGGCGCACAACATGGCCTGTGACCCAATAATACACACATGTACCTCGGCTCCCCCTCCCTCTCTTGCCCTGGCAGCAGCAGCCTCACTCGTTTGCGGTTCGTCTTCCCCCCCTCTTCCCCGTCCTTTACGGGATCCTTATGTCCCGTAAAGCCCGTTCACTCCAGGGGGCCACTCACGTTGTCCACATGACCCGCATGTGGTCGCCCGTACTGATTACCCTTTTTTCCCTCTCCCCACCCGCCGCCACCCCGGTAGAACATTCTCTGAGTTTTTCTCGCACATGTCCCCCCCCACCGCCCGGGGCTCCCCCCGCCCCGCCGGGGGTCTCCCTTCATACCATACACAGGCCTTTCGTGGCGGGAGAGTACATCAGTCTCATCTCACAAAATCTCACCAGCCAGACAAATGTGCGTGTGTGTGTGTGCTCTTAGGTGTTTAGCTAGTGCTATTGCTTATTGCTTGTGAACACTTGTGAACACTTGTGAACACTGGTTTGTGCGGTGGTGCGAGGTGTGCGTGTGTGTGTTGGGGGGGAGGTGTGTATGTATGTATGTGTGTGTGGAAGTGGAAGTGGAAGTGTGGCGAACTGCCATAATGGTACAGGAAGGAAGGTGTACGGCAGGATCCATGGGGGGGCCCCCACCCCACCCCACCCCCCACTCGCACTGCCCTGTGCCCTCTGGCCCTCTTTCCTGTATGCCACGGTGTATGCTTCTGCTTACCTCTCTCCCATCCATCCCGTTATTTGGGTCGTACATGGGTTTGTGCTGTCGTTCCCGTGATCCTCTCCACCCCCTCCCCCTTGACCTGCCCTCCGCCCGCCCGCCCTCGCGCATTCCGCCCCATCTGTACCCCCGTTCCATCACATGTCCCTGGGGGCCGTACCGTACCTTCCCCCTCCCCCCTCACTCACAACCGCTACCCGACCCCCTTGGGGATCCTCA